AAGCTCATCAAGGAAGAGCAGTGTGACTGTATGAGCATTTATGTTTCTATCATCTGCTTTCTACATGGGCACATTTTCAGGTCTGGACTACTGAGATCCCAATCCACATATACTGATAGCTCTGCAGCTTCCAGTGCCTACCTGACTTCTTGAAGGAATATCAATTGGAGTCCCAGACCCACCCTTTGTCCAAAGGCCACGAGGAATGATGGCCTAGGAGCATAGTACTGGAACCAGGAAAGCTCCCTTTAGTGGGGGTTTAAGTCAATAGCAACTATCACAGCGGGAAACTGCACACTGTACAGCCTCAAGCTGAAGGCCCTGCTGTTCCCCGTTCAACCTCTTAAAGAAATCATTTCTCAATAATCCTACCACGTCCTTGAACCTCACTCAAGATGTACCCATGGAACTAGCAAATTGTGACCAGGGACCCTGCCACTTGCATCCCTCCCTAACGATACCATCCTCACTGCACTTCCCAGTGTACACATTAAGACACATGAGGACCAGTAGAGCAATAGGAGCTTCAGGTCCCTTTTCATTTCAGTGGAAATAACGCTCGCTTTTCTGACGATTCCTGAACAAATTTTTGACATGGAAGACTTACGACATACAGAGGGTTTCAGAGGCTCTGTTAAAGTTGTCAAGCTGCTCCTACACATTATGGAGGGACCTAAGGACACTGGAGATCCACACTCAAACCTGCACTGAACACAAATAAGGCCACCCCAATGGGCCTGGAAAGTATAACTTACCGAAACAGGCAGTGTTCTCACATTGTCAAAGGGAACAGTAGATGTATGGGTGGGGCACTAAACCCAAGAAATCTGTAATGTGTAGGCACACCGCAGTCCCCATCTCCCTCTTCCATTTTGCTTCCGTATCTCTTGCCTCCAGATCCTCATCATTCTCTGCATGACACATCGAGACACCAGGAGAATATCCACCCACATTTGAATCCCTCTTCCCTCCTCAGGGATTGTCCCTCTCCATACACTTTATACATACTTCAGATGAAGGAGGATCAGAGACAGAAAGGAATCCCGGATTTCTATAATCTTCTCATATGTATCATCTTAATTGTGTAAACTCCTGGGGTTCACATCGTGAGGAGAGGACAACTGACATCTTTCCGAGGATGCTGGAGGCTCAGGTGACTCCACGGTCATTATGCCATCAAGGCAGGCATCTCAAGGACCTCTGCAACTCCATGCACGTCACAGGTACAGACGCCACCACATGTGACCTTCTTGTGAGCCTGATTCTGCCCAGGCAGGCGCATTTACAGGGAATCTACATCCACAGCACCTGGCTGGGCAGGGCATGGCATACAGATTGCCTCGAGCTGGAGGACCTGCTCGGTGCACTTCCCACGATTCTCTTCAATTTTCAGCTATCTTGCCCCCATACCATGATCACCATAGCCCTGATTAAATTCCCCTAATTGAAAATACCATCTCATAGCCCCTGAATGTATATCCCAGCACTTTACAGGTATTGCCACATTCTTTGGGTAATGGAAGAGAGATGACAATCATTCGAAGAAGCTCAGTGTAGTGTAGAATCTTCCGTCATCTACCCTGTGGGTTCAGATGATACTAGAAATATTCAAGCACTGCAAGCATCCTCAAAGGCCTAGAACTCACGTGCTTCCCTGTACCGTCACGAATCATGGAAAGAAGCAAAGGACATGTGGAGACCAAACCCGAGTACTCTTCCTTCGTCTCAACAAATCGTGTTCCCTGTGAACATTATTCCACCAAGAGAGATACTTATTATACGAAAATTAATGGAGAGCCCTGTCGAGGAAGGCCAATGCACAGAGCAAGGCTGTCACTGATCCATCAACCCAAGAAATGGGTTGCATTAGACGCAATTACGACAGCTCAGCATCGCATACGAAATGCTGCGTGAAAGATATATGATAACTCCAAGAGAATATGCACCCACTGATTGTAAGCTGCATCTCTCCTTTACTGGATACCCAGCACCTACTGAACTATGCCTACTTGAGATGTACGAAAACCGAGAGACAGTGAAGAAACCCACCCTCCCACTCTGCAGTATTTCTCTTCTCCTATAATGAACCATCTAGCCTTTGCAAAAATTACTGTGTTCCTATGGCATGACTACGACCAATTATATCCTCCTAGGATACCGGAACAACAAATGACACCCCTGGTCCTTATGATACGGAGGCTGGCAGCTCAGGGAAACCTGAATATCCACCCACATTCCTGGTCCAGCAGACACCACAAATGGTATATTTGTGTGCCTTATGCTACCCAGCCAGGGCACAGTACACAGTACACAGTTCTAAATGTACTGCACCTGGCTCAGTAGGACACCGCACACAGCATTGCTTCCAGGACGAGGATTTCCCTTTCCCCTCACACCCACACATGCCTTTCATCATCATATCCTGATTCTACAACAAAGATTTACCGGTAATCCTTTAAATCATGCACACGCTGTCATCCAGTTGGCATCTCCTATTCCTGAGAATCACGTCAGCTAGTCCACAGGTATCTGAAACTATATATGAGCATAGGAGAAACGATCATCAAGGAAGAGGAGTGTGACTCCATAAAGCATTTATATTTCTATCATCTGCTTTCTACACGGGCACATTTTCAGTTTTGGACTACTGAGAACCCAAACAACATATACTGATATTTCTGTCGCCTCGAGTGCCTCCCTGACATCATGGAGGAATAGCACTTGGGAGTCCCAGACCCACCCTTGGTTCAAAGGCCACGAGTAATGATGAACATGGAGCACAGTACTTGATCCAGGAAAGCTCGGTTTACTGGGAGTTTAAGTCAGTAGCAACTATCACACCGGGAAACTGCACACTGTACAGCCTCATGTTAAATGCCCTGCTGGTCCCCCTTCGACCTCTTAAGGAAATCGTTCATCATTCCTCCTCCCACGTCCTTGAACGTGACCCAAGATCTACGCATAGAACTGATAAACGGTGCCCCCGGACGCTGCCACTTGCATCCCTCCCGAACAATACCGTCCTCACTGCACTTGCCAGTGTACACATTTAGCAGCAGGAAGACCAAGAGAGAAATAGAGGAGTTTCAGCTCCCTCTTCATTTCAGTGGATATAACCCTCACTTTTCTATCGATCCCTGACCAACTTTTTGAAATGGAAGACTTACGACATACAGAGGATTTCAGAGGCAATGTGAACGTTGTCAAGTTGCTCCGAAACGTTCTGGAGGGACCTGAGGACATTGGAGACCCACACTGAAACCTGCACAGGAAACAAATAAGGCCACCCCAATGGGCCTATAGAGTATACATCACCAAATCAGGCAGTGTTCACACACTGTCAAAGGGAACAGTAGCTGCATGGGTGGGGCACTAAACCCCAGAGATCTGCAATGTGTAGGCACTCCCCAGGCCCCATCACCCTCGTCCATTTTGCTTCCGTATCTCTTGCCTCCACATCCTCATGGTTCTCTCCATGATACATCGAGACACCAAGAGAATACTCACCCACATTGAATCCCTTTTCCCTCCTCAGAGACTGTCCCTCTCGGTCCCCTTTATAATTACTTCAGATGTAGGAGGATCAGAGATAGAGAGGAATCTCCGATTTAGATAAGCTTCTCCTATGTATCATCATACCTGTGTAAACTCCTAGGGTTCACACCGTTGAGGAGAGGACCACTGACATCATTCCGAGGACGCTAGACACACAGAGGACTCCAGTGAAATTATGCCATCGAGGCAGGCATCTCAAGGACCTCTGCAATTCCATGCACATCACTGGTACAGACGCCACCCTAACTGATCTTCTTGTGAGCCTGACTCTGCTCAGNCCCCCCCACGCACAAACCCCAGTATTTCTCTCTTCTGCTAGGAGGAATCATCTAGCCTTTGCAAAAATTACTGTGTTCAAAGGTATGAATAAGACCAATGAACTCGTCCTAGCATGCCGGGGACCAGGTGATGCCACTGGTCCTTATGATATGGAGGCAGGCAGCACAGCGAAACCAAAAAATGCATCCAAATCCCTGGTCCAGCAGACACCACCAACGATGTTCTTGTGAGCCTTGCGCTACTCAACCGCGGCGCAGCACACACTACACAGTTCTACATGAACTGCACCTGGCTGAGTAGGGCACTGCACACAGCATTGCTTCCAGGAAGAGGATTTACCTTGCCCCTCACACCCACACATGTCTTTCATCATAAAATCCTGATGCTACAACAAAGATTTACCGGTTATCCATTAAATTGTGCACATGCTCTCATCCACTTGGCATCTCCTCTTCCCAAGAATCACGTCAACTGGTCCACAGGTAGCTGAAACCATATATGATCATAGTAGAAAAGCTCATCAAGGAAGAGCAGTGTGACTGTATGAGCATTTATGTTTCTATCATCTGCTTTCTACATGGGCACATTTTCAGGTCTGGACTACTGAGATCCCAATCCACATATACTGATAGCTCTGCAGCTTCGAGTGCCTCCCTGACTTCTTGGAGGAATATCAATTGGAGTCCCAGACCCACCCTTTGTCCAAAGGCCACGAGGAATGATGGCCTAGGAGCATAGTACTGGAACCAGGAAAGCTCCCTTTAGTGGGGGTTTAAGTCAATAGCAACTATCACAGTGGGAAACTGCACACTGTACAGCCTCAAGCTGAAGGCCCTGCTGTTCCCCGTTCAACCTCTTAAAGAAATCATTCCTCATTAATCCTACCACGTCCTTGAACCTCACTCAAGGTGTACCCATGGAACTAGCAAATTGTGACCAGGGACCCTGCCACTTGCATCCCTCCCTAACGATACCATCCTCACTGCACTTCCCAGTGTACACATTAAGACGCATGAGGACCAACAGAGCAATAGGAGTTTCAGGTCCCTCTTCATTTCAGTGGAAATAACCCTCGCTTTTCTAACGATTCCTGATCAAATTTTTGACATGGAAGACTTACGACATACACAGGGTTTCAGAGACTCTGTTAAAATTGTCAAGGTGCTCCTACACATTCTGGAGGGACCTAAGGACACTGGAGATCCACACTCAAACCTGCACTGAACACAAATAAGGCCACCCCAATGGGCCTGGAAAGTATAACTTACCGAAACAGGCAGTGTTCTCTCATTGTCAAAGTGAACAGTACCTGTCTGCTAGGGCACTATATGAAGCAAATCTGTAATGTGTAGCCACAACCCAGTCCCCGTTATGCTCTTCCAAGTATCTTCCGTATCTCTTGCCTCCACATTTTGATGGCTCCATGCAAGATATAACCAGATACCAAGGGAATACCCACCCACTTTTTGAATCATTTATCCATCCTCAGGGGCTGTCCCCTTCACTCCTCTTTATACTTACTTCAGATAAAGGAGGATCAGAGAAAGAAAAGCATCTCATATTTCTCTATTCTCCTCATAGGTATCATCCTACTCTCTGTAAACTCTGTGTTCACATAGTAATGAATGGACCACACACCTTTCTGAGGATGCTAGAGGCACAGATGACACTGGTGTCATTATGACATCAAGACACTCAGTTCAGGGTCACCCGCAACTCCTTCCATATCGCTTGTCCAGAGGCCACCACAAACAATGTTATTTTGAGCCTTACTCTGTTCAGGCAGGTGTGCTCACAGGGAGTCTACATGAACAGCAGCTGGCTGGGCAGGGCAGAGTACACCACATGGTCTCGAGGTGAAGGATATGACTAGTTCACTTTCCATGGTCTTCTTCAATTTTATCATCTCTTCTCACAATACCTTGGTCACTGCACTCAGTATTTAGCTCCAGACATAGAAAAAAAAATTGTCCCATTGCCATCAATCTTACATCCAGACTCTTTGAGGATCTTGTCACCTTCTATGTGTATCTGCACAGAGATAAAGGATGATGGAAGAAATTCACTCTCTTACAATTCCCTCCCTTTTCTAATCTATAGGTGCAGACATGATATTAGAAATAGTCAAACACTGGTAGCATCCTCAAAATGCTTGGAATACATTGGCTCTCTGGACCCTCATAACATCATGGCAAATAGCCAAGAACATACACAGCTCCAACACTAGAACTGCTCCAAGGTCAACCACAAATCATGTTCCTTTTGAGCCTTATTCTACCATGACAGATGCTGACTACCTGAGGTCTACAGTATCAGTGCCTGTCTAGGCATGGCATTGCACACATCAAGGCTGTCTCTGATCAATCAACCCAAAACCCTGGGCTGTCTTAGAAGCACCTATGATTTCCGCCCCATTGCATCCTGATGGCTGCACTCAAGATATAGCCGGACCCCTAGAGAATATCCACCCACTGCTTTGTAACCTGCATCCCTCCATCGCTAGATATCCACCATCCACTTCTCTTCTCTACTTGAGATCTACAAAATTTGAGAAAGACAGAGAGAGAAAAACATATCATATTTCTCTCTTCTCAAAGGAATCAATTTTCCTTCTGTAAGCTCTTTGTTTTCACATTGTGAAGATTACTGAAGACTACTGAAATCATCCTGAGGATCCTTCTCAGGGTCATTATGACATCAAGGCAGGCAGCTCAAGGAAACCTGCAACTCCACCTTAATTACTGATCCGAGGCCACCACAAATGATGTTCTTGTGAGACTTACTCTACCCAGGCAGGTCCTTTCACTGACAGTTTAAGTGAAAAGCACCTGTCTGCACAGGGCATGGCACACTGCTTGGCCTGGACATGGAGGACCTGCTTAAGTCCATTTCCCATGCTCTTCTTGAATTGTCTTCTCTCTTCTCAACACACACTGATGACTACACTCAAGACTTAGATATATACATTGAAAAAGTTGACCCATGTCCCTGAAGCTTGACTCTGACCTCATCAGGATCTAATTACCATTCTATGTGTATCTGCATGAGATGCATTACCATGGGTAAAAGCTTACACCTTTTAATTTTTTTTTCTGATAGGAACCTTATTTCCCTTTTCTATCCTATAGGTGCTGATGCTATTAGGAATATTCAAGCATGGGAAATATCCTTAAGATGCCTATGACCAAGTGCCTCCCTGGACCCTCATGACATCATGGCAAGCAGCCCAAGGACACATGCAGCTCCAGCACTAGAACTGTTCCAAGGTCAAGCACAAATGACATTTCTGTGAGTCTTACTCTACCCAGGCAGATACTGATTACACATGGTCTACATGATCAGTACCTGTCTAGGCAGAGCATTGCACACAGTAGGACTGTCTCTGATCACTGTCCCTGGGCTGTCTTAGAAGCACCTATGATCTCTGTCTATCACATCCTGATGGCTGCACTCAACATATATCCATACCCCTAGAGAATATATGCCCACTGATTTTAACCTGCATCTCTCCTTCACTTGATATCCACCATCTCCATTTCTGTGCCTACTGGAAATGTAAAAAAAAAAAAAAAAACTGAGAGAGTGAAAGAGAGAGAGAGAGATTAAATACTTCTCGTACTCTCTTTTTCTCTTAGGAATCCTCTTTCCTTCTGTACACTCTGTGAGTTCACACTGAGAGCAGAAGACCAATGAAATCATCCCAAGGATTTCAGAGCAACAGATAAGCCCAGGGTTATTATGGAATCAAAACTGGCAGGTAATGGACACTTGTAACTCCACCCACATCACTGGTACAGAGGCCACCACAAACAATGTTCTTGTGAGCCTTACTTTACCCAGGCAGGCTCAGTTCATGGAGTCTATGTGAACAGCACCAGACTGGGTAGGGCACTGCACACAGCAAGGCTCCAAGGGGAAGGACAGGCCCTGTGTCCCTTTCACTATCCCATGTAACTTTGAGAACCCTACCCACTACATCCCTATTACTGCACACAAGATTTTATATACTCCTAAGAAATACTGTCCTACTGCCCTTCAATTTTATCCCACTCTCTTTGGGGACCTCCTCACCTACTCTCTGTACACCTGTGGAAATCTGAGATCCCAGGGTAAATCAGCCTGTTTCTGTTCTATGCCAATCTACTGAGAGTTATCCTTCCCTTTTCCTGTCATATGTGTTCAAAATTTTCAGAGTGGACCACTGAAATCACAATCATGAGGCCAGATATCTATGTGGCTCCCAGGGCCCTCCTGACTTCATGGAAGCCAGCTCTGAGACACCTGCAGCTATCAGTGGTCCAGAGGGCACCACAAGTGACAATTCTATTGCACATTACACAATCCAGAGAGGCCCTGTGCACACCTAGTCTATGTGAACAGCACCTGTCTGGACAGCACACTGTACACAACATGGCCTCATGGTAGATGACCTGCTTAGTCCCCACTTCCCACTCTGCAATGAAGTTTCCTTCTCTCTTCCCCTCATACCTTTATGACTGCTCCCAAGATTTAGCCATAGACCTAGAAAAAGTTGACCTTTTTCTGCCACTGCCCTCAATCATGGATCCCAGCTCTTTCAGGATCTCATCACCTGTTCTATGTGTATCTGCACAAGGATGAGTTACCATGGGTAAAAGCTTACTCCCTTTTAATTTATTTTCTGATAGGAACTGTGTTTCCATTTTCTAACCTATTTATGCTATGGTATTCAAATACTCAAGCACTGGAAGCATTCTCAAAATGCCTAGGATCCAGATGGCTCCCTAGACCCTCGTGAGGTCATGGCAAGCAGCCCAATAACACATGCATTTTCATTACTAGAACTGCTCCAAGGTCAAACACAAATGATGTTTCTTGTGAAACTTACTCTACCCAGACAGATACCATTTCCACAAAGCCTAAATGATCAGAAGCTGTCTAGGTAGGGCACTACACACAGCTC